GTTGGGGCCCGGCCCAGGCCGCCGGCGCCTCCGCAGACCTGAGGGCGCTTGAAGCTCCTGCCTTTCCTTCCCTCAGACCCTCCATGTGCATGTAGGGCAGGTACCCAGGCTCTCCTTCAAGGAGTTTCACGCCTGGAAGTGGAGGGGGCCGGAGGGCATGATCAAGGAACGCTGTGGGAGGAGACGACGTGATTCCGCATACCCCTGTCCCCAACTAATGTCCAAGTCACCGCTCCAGATGGCCCTCCCCCCCACCAAGGGGTAATCCCGGGAGCAGAGCTTGGAACCCCTCTATGTCTAACAGCCAGTGTTCTGTAAAGAAGGGCTTTTCCTTTTCCTCCTTCCTCTTCTATCTCTGTTTTTGGTATCAGAATGGACTCATGGATTGTTTTTTTTAATGTGTTTTGACCTATTACCAAAAGTTGACCATATTTTAAATCTAAAAAGACCCCTCAAATGTACCAAAGCGAAAATAGTGAAAATAGTACATACCACATTATCTGGTACAGGATAATAAAGTCATAATTGAATAGCAAAAAAATAGAAGACATTGCATTATCAAAACCTGTGAAATGCAGTCAAAGCTGAGCTCAAGGCTAAAACATAGCCAAAACCGCTTCTTTATTTGACTGAAAAACTATAAAAATAAGTGAGGTAGAGGATTCTGGAAAGCTGGCAGAGTAAGATGCCCCAGGAATCTGTCTCCCCACATGTACAATTGCACTAGCAGAATCTGATATAACTATTTTGGAATTCTGGAATCTGTTGAGGGCTGGTAACTTCTAGAGGGAGACTTGGACAGTAAATTGCTGTTAATTTTGGTCAATTTCAGCTCTTTGCACAGTAACAGCTACCCATCCTCCACCCCTAGCTACATGGCAGTACACATGTTATTGGAGCAGCTTGCACACAGCTTGTAGGAGCCAGGGCAGGCAAAAAGGTACCTATCCTACAACAGAGGTTGGAGTTCAAGCTCCAGACAAGATGGGGGAGTTTAGTCATTACAAGGGACTTTTGATTGAGATACCAGAAGGAGATGCCCTAGAAGCAAGTTTTATACCCTAGTGGTAAGAGAAAAATTAACTAGCTTAAAACTAGTCTTTGACAGTTTCAAGGTAATCTCTACAAGTTGCCATAAGGAGACACAATCCTTTTTGAAGAAAGACACATCAACCAGAGTCTCAACATTTCTTCTTCAACAATGTTGGGGAAAAAAATAATGAGTCATGCTGAAAAGGAGACACAGAGAAGGAGAAAGAATAGACAATGCAATCAGTTCTATGGAAGATTTAGATACTGGAAAAATCTGACAAGGACTTTAAAATAACTATATGATTAATATGATGAGGAAAAGAGAAGAAAGATGGAGAATTTCACCAGAGAGCTAGAATCCGTGAAAAGGGGTCAGATGGAGATTCTTGACCTGAAAAGTATTGTAAGAAATTAATACCTAAATGACTTGTGTTTAATAGCAAATTAGACACAGCAGAATGGATGATTAGTATAACTAGAAGACAAGTCAGTGGAAGATGTCCAAATTGAAACATAGAAAAAAAAAACCCAGAAAATGCCGAAAAGAATATGTCTTTTAATCATATGAGACAGAATGAAAAGGACTGACATATGTATAGCAGAGCACTAGAAGGGGAGCAGAGAATGAGGCAGAACCAGAAGAAATACTGACTGGAAATTTCTCAGAGCAAGTGTCCCAAGAAAACCAGGTGGAGCTGCATAACTTTTTTGGACCTAGACTCATAAGTTATGCAAGGTCATATCCACTGCATTCTTCTGGTTACAAATGAGTCACTATGACCAGTCCAGATTCAGAGCTGGGTAGGGGAGGGGAGATACATAGACCCCACCTCTTGATGAAGTAATATCAAAGAATTCATGGATATGTTTTAAAACCTCCACCCTACTAAAACTAAACACACCTATATCCTATGACCTAGTCATTCCACTCCTGGGTATATATATCCAACAGAAACTAGTACTTATGCCCACCAAAAGAAGTACATGAATGTGCATAGCAGCTTTATTCATAATAAATGACCAAATGATTATCAATAGTAGAATGGATAAGTGGTGGTATTTTCATACAATGGATGAAAAGGAACAAACCCAATATTGAAATAATATGAATTAATTTCATAAACATGTTGCTTCCATTTATATCATATAATTTCATTTATATCAAACTTCACAATAGGCAAAACTATAATATACGGTGCTATCGGTCAGAACAGCAGTTACATTTTGCGGGGCTGTTGACTAAGAGGGTGCATGAGGGAACTTTCTGGGATAACAGAAATGTTCTGTGTCTAATGGTAGTTATATGGGTGTTGTTCTAGTTATTTATTACTGTGTAACAAACCAGCCCAAAACTTAGTGGCTTAAAACAATCTGTTTTTCTTACGAATCTGCAGTGGGGACAGGGCTCGGTGGGGAAAGCTCATGTCTCTCCACCCAGAGTCATCTGGGTTGGCTTGACTGGGGGCTAGAAGATCCACCTCCAAGAGGGCTTATTCACATGGCTGGCAAGTTGATGCTGGCTGCTGGCTGGGAGCTCCGTCAGAGTTGAGGGCCAGGGACCTTGGCTTCTCCCCACATGAACCTCTCCATGTGACTGGGCTTCCTCATAACATGGTGGCTCCAAGGGCAAGTGGCCTAAGAGAGACAGGAAGAGGCTCGATCTCCTTTTATGACCTAGGTTTGACCGTCACACAGCATAGTGCCTCCACACTTAATTTGTTGAGGTGGTCACAAAGCCCTGCCCAGGTGTAAAAGGAGGGGACATAGACGCTGCACTTGATGGGGGAGTGGCAAGTCACACTGTGAGAAAGCCACGGGGGACTGGAAACATTAAGCCATCTTTAGAATATACAATTGACCACAGGAGTTTACATATGTAAAAACTTCCTAGCTTTATGCTTGAGATTTGTGTCCTTTACCATTTGTAAGTTATACCTCAACAGAAAAGTAAATAAAATGTGAAAAGCTTGTAAAAGAATATATAAACTTCACTTTTAAATTTATCCTGTATACTTGAGAACATTATTTATCTTTCCATCCATATAAACATGTATACCCCTAATACAACTTTTTAAAATAAAAATGGTATCATACTACACATATTATTCTGAAACTTACTTTTTGTTACTTAATACATTGTGGAAATCCTTCCATGCCAGCAGTTTGGGAGCGGAATGCTTTCAAATGTTCAAAGAATAGATACTAAATAAATGAGAGCTTAGCCAGACTTCCAAATTCGTATTATGAAGTTAACTCTGAAGTTAACTCTGATATTAAATCCTGATCAAGAGAAATCATATAAAGGAAACTATTAGCCAATCTCATATATGAATATAATATGAAAATCTCAAAGTAACAGCAAATCAAATTTAGTACTAATTAAAAGCATAATCAACCACAAGGAAGTAAATTCATTCAAGTAGAAATTCAAAGGTAGTTCAATATAAAGAAAAGGTACTAGCATTTATCCCCTCAGATATGCATAATAAGAAAAGTTATATCATAGAATCAGGAATGGACCCCAGTTTTATGGGTCTGAAGCTTATACAATTGTGTGTGCATGTGTAGGGGGGTACTTCTAGAGAAAGAATGCAAATTAGATAGAAAATTGGGGTATATAGATCTTCATAGCAAATCTTTGAAACTTTTCTACATGTTTGAAATTATTAGAAAAGTTAGAAGAGTATAATGAGAAAAAATCATAAGCAATCACATATTTTTGAAAAGCTGACAAATATCACAAACAGTATAAACCCAGAAAGTAGCCTGAAAAACGTCTATAATACTTTTCCCCTGAAGTTTGTCTTCATACTTTTTGTCTCTTGACATGAAAATGATTTTGGAACATCATTTTCTAGAGAAAGATCAGAAAAATTATATTTTTCCTCTAGTAGGATCAAAAATTTTGTTGTTGGCTATTATTGGCTGTTTAGAGAAGTTTCTGCATTTTTAGAACTTGTTACTGATAATATGCACATTTAAAGCATTATCGTGAATCCTGGGAACACTTCTTTGACATTTCTCTTCTGTACGAGCTATAGCAGACATTTACGATACTGCTAGAGGTTTGTGTCCAACAAACACAGGAATTCTGATAAATTCTGTCTTGTGTGATTCTTGTTACAAAAGGGTATGATTGTCTATTATTGTAATCAATGAAACATCAAGAATATTCCTAACAAGAGAGGACTTCTTTCTTGATCAGGTGTTAATAAAAACCAAATCCTCCACTTACAGTTTTATATTTTGATTGATTGGAAAGTTTTCCCACAGACTAGCCTCTGTTGTTATTTATTTTTTAAACTTGTTTGCCTCCACTGCCCATATACCTCTGGGGCTGGGTCCCAGAGGATCCATTTATATGGTAATAAGGTTCCTGCCTATACCTTTGTGTCATGATACTGGATAAGTTGGCAACAGGCAGTAGAAGTATCCCTGGAAGCTCTTCCTATAGTGAGCATCTAGCAAAAGTGACTGATAACCACATAAAGATATCCTGCTAAACCTAACTAAACGTATCCCAGACTCAGCTTCTCCTTAATGCCAGAGGCCATTCCAGTGCCCCCCAGTGACACAGGGAAATTGTGATGGAAGATTTATTAGACCTATCAGCCTTAACCAACAGTCATTAAAATATCTTACTTTGCAAATTTTACATAAATATAACATTGTGTGAAGATATTGCTAGGGCCCCTCCTAGACTCTTGGATGAGGTTTGTGAAAGTGAAGGGCCCTGAAACTTAAGCTTCATTAGTTTCATGATAAATCTTCCTCTGCACAGAGCTGATGTGAGGCTTAACTGCATTAAATCATGGGAAGTATTTAGAACAGCCTGAGTAAATGCTCAATAAATACAATTTATTATACAGCACTGATACAGAAATAGATAAATACAGCAGAGTAGCGAGTCCAGAAAGAGATTCAATTATATATAATATATATATACACATACATATATTTGTTTATTGGAGATAGATTATATTTCACTCTTTATTCCAAAATATATACCTCAAAGCGTAAATCTATATAATAAAGAAGAAGACAGTGATAACAAAGAAGAAAAGAAGAAGAACAACAATGGTAACAACAAGACAAAAGAACCAAAATAAAGTGCAAGTGAAATGATCTGGTTTATTTTAAACATAACACCAAAGACTAAATCCATAAAATAAAAATACTGGCAGATTTGACTACATAAAAACGTTAAACTTCTGTCCATCTATGAATAAAGTATATTAATATTAAAAGTAAAGATACAAACTAGGAGAAAATATTTGTGTAATTTATGACAAAAGGATCATATCATTAATATAGAAAGAGCCCTTATAAACCAATAAGATGAATACCCACTCATCCCCTTTTTTAAATGGACAAAGGACATGAACAGGGAATGCAAAAAAATATAACCTTTCTGAAGAGTGACTCAGAAATACATGTTCTACAGTTTAAAATTTATGTATCTTTTGTCCCAGCAATTCTATCCATGGTAATTTATCCTGAGGAAATAAGAGCAGAGTATAGAATTAAAAACAACATTATAAAAAGATATCAAAGCATTATAACAATTTTTAAAAATGGAAACAGCCTAGATAGATGATTGGTTAGGTAAATTACAGTACAATCAATTATATGCTGGAACAATAAATATCTGTTTAAGAATGTTTATTGGTATGAGAACGTGTTCTCAAGCCATAACGCTGAGTGAAAGAGCAGGCTACAGAACAAGACATATAGCAATCCATTTTGTCCTATGGGCCTAGAGTGCACCATTTTTTTTAAATTGAAGTATATTCAGTTTACAACATTGCATCAATTTCTGGTGTATAGCATAATAGCTCAGTCATATATATATATATGTATACATATATATATTTGTTTTCATATTCTTTTTCATTATAGGTTACTACAAGATATTGAATATAGTTCCCTCTGCTATACAGTAGAAACTTGTTTATCCATTTTATATATAGTCTTTAGTATCTGCAAATCCTGAACGCCCAATTTATCCCTTTCCACTCCCTCCTGCCCCGTAACCATAAATTTGTTTCCTATATCTGTGAATCTGTTTCTGTTTTATAAATAAATTCACTTTTTTTTAGATTCCACATACAACAGATATTACATGGTCATTTTGTTTTAAATGTCTGTTTTATATGTATAAAAAAGTAAAGTTTATAACCACTGTTGTTAATTTGATATATTGTGGGGTGATGGGATGATTAGTGATTTCTCCCATTTTGTATTATTTTTCTTATTGGAGCTTAAGAAAGAGGTAAAAATATTGTGAGACTTGATGACATACAATGATTGCATTGGCTAGCAGGACACCTGCCTGGCTATGCCATAAGATGCAGTTTATTTCTCTGTCTTCCTCTGAAATGCTGTTAGGTATCACCTCTCATTTGACTAAATGCAATTTAATTCAGTTGCACAATCATTGCATACTCCTACTGCAAGGCACTAGAGATAAGATTACAAAGGTAACTAGAAGATATTACTTTCCCCAAAGAAGCCAATAATTTAGTAGGAGGGGAAATCCACTGGGACCTGCTCAGCTAGAAATAAAATTTCTTTTTGGAATTTTTTTTTTTAATGCAACAGCAAAGGCAATTTTTCGTCTCCTAGACTAAATTCAGCTTACTTAAGGAGTTCTTCTTTCTTTGCTTGTCATTGCTTTCTGGAATTCAGCCTAGGAAAGTAACATATGTCACCATGTGTGCTAGTTTATAATTAGAACAAATGTGAAGATTTATAAGAAAAGGCCTATTGGCAAAAAACATTTAGTAAAACTCTAGAAAAGGCAGTCAGGAGAAAGAAGGAGGAAGAAGTCTATTTTGGAAATTAATTTGATGCTAAAGAAAGAGAAGACATTTAAAAATATAAAAGGCAATTATTACGTCCTTGGGATTTTTGTTTCAGGAGTGCATGGAAATGTAGCTGCTATTAGATTACCCTCTATTTGAAAGGATGAGTATTGTGGATATAAATAGAAGCTAAGGTCAAGAAGCTAAAGGCAGAAAAAGACTCATGCATCCAATAGAGACTGATAAGCATGTGAAATAATATCCTCTACTCATAAGGCTGCAATTATGCCTCTGCCCTGAGTTTGAGCTCCAGGGAAGAGGGGAAGGGTAAAAATCAGAAGGGCCTAAGGTTGCCCTTCTCATAAATCTTAAACCAGTTCAAATCTTCACCAGACTTCATTATGATAACATTAATACACAGCAGAGTCTTATTTCTAAGACCTCTGAGCCCATCGGGTAATTTCCTCTCCACATTTCACCTGTTTCCAACCAAGCATTGACATGTTTCAGAAAGATGTCGTTGACCTAAGCCCTAAAAAACACCATCTCTTCCCTCTTTAGGAACATGCGTTTTTGAGAAGATTTTCCTAGAGGCACGACCCCAGGAATTTAAAAAGCAAACAGGTAGAGGGTACATATAGTCTGATGCAGCTTAATTTCCCACCATCTTTCCATCCCACTGCTACACTGACCTCCTCTATCCCAGATTTCCCACATTCTGCTTTCCTGCTCAGGACACAGCTGTTCAGCTTTCATCCTTCTCCACTGTCCTGCCAGCTTTCATGACCCTCAGGCTCTAGCGGGGCACGTTTCCCTGAGCACCTTCCCACCCCTTCCTGCTTTGACTGTCCCCTCTGTCTTTTCTTGGGCTCCTGTCCCAGCTGCCTGAGCCTGACTCATTCACGAAGGGCTCCATTCCCATGCCCCACTGTGCATGGTTGCCAGGGTCTCCACTGAGTGGCGGTGGGCTACCTGGATGCTCAGTGGATCTGCTGCCTCTTCCTTGTCTTTCTCTGAGAGGTCTCTTCTCTGCACTTGACTCTCATCACTACGTGCTCTTCAAGAAGAGGGGAAAGAATAGCCTTTTAGTTCACCAAGTCAACTCAAGTTCTCTAAGTCCACAGCTCTTTCCCAGATACGCCTCATCTCCATATGGAATGTACCTCTTCTGTCCTCACCAAGTGCCACTCTTCCTAGCTTGAGTGAGAACATAATGACTGATATGCATACAGTTTTAGTCTGTGACCCACCTGAGGGATAGGGGGACATGTCTACCTATCCCAGACTCTTGGTACCTTTTCACTAAGGTATTGGACTTGTGTGTGGGGTCAGGAGGTAATGTCTGTGCCCTTTATTTTGGGGGGTCCTATTTCTTAGGTTCTCTCAGGCAATAACATTCCTTCAGATCCAGCTTTCTGGGACATGAATTGGGGAAAACAGGTTTGTAACTTCAAATAGCTCTGGTTTCTTAACCCAAACATCTGTCACATTGGCTGGCCCTGGGGTCCTAGATATGGTTGATCTTTATTGCCTTCCCACGATTTTTCTTCCAAATCATTTATCACTTTTATAGGATTTCATTGGTATTTTCCATTTGACTAAACCTGTAGGCTTTTTTTTCTCATTGAATCACACATACCAGTTATAAGATGCATTCTGATTTCAGAGTTGTTACAAGAGGAAGAAATATATATTTAGAATTGATGAAACACACTATATGTTAACCTTTCTGCTTATGATTTTGTTTTATTGTACATTTTCCTTTGTAGAGTTTTTTATGTTGTAATTGATTTTCTACCATGTCAATTTTACTTCCATTGTTTCTAATAATGATTTTTAAGTAGTCTATTATTAATTTTTATAATAATTAAAAAAAACTTGGCCTATTGTTCTTGGATATATGTCCTCTTCCATCTCTTTTACAACTTGTGGATCTCACATGACACACAAAAAATCAATTCCAGATCTAAATGTAAAAGGCCCCTCAAATTCTTATAGCAGAAAATATAGGAGGACCTATTAAAGCAGGCAAAGATGTCTTAATAGGGAAATATAAATCACACTATCCATCAAAGGAAATTAATAAATTGGACTATATTAAAATTAAGAACCTCTGTTTATCGAAAGATACAAATTAAGAGAATGAAAAGGCAAGCTATAGATTTGGAAAAGATATTTTCAATATGTATATCTGACAAAAGACTCTCATCCAAAGTGTGTAAATTGATAAGAGAAAGGAAACCAACTGAACAGAAAATGGGCAAGAGATCTGAATGGCCATTTATTAAGGAGGTTTTGCAAAAGGCTAAGAAGCACGCAAGAAGATGTTCAACATCATCACCATCAAGAAAACGCAAACTAACACGAGAATGAGGTACGACTACATGGGACCACAATGGCTAAAAATTAAATGGCTGACAATAACAAGTGGTAACAAGGATACAGAACAATCAGAACATTCATACTCATATTCTCCTGATAGGAGTGTAAACTAATACAGCCAATCTGAAAAATTATTTGGCATTATCCCCTAAAGATCAACATCTACACAATCTATGGCCCAGAGATTCCACTCCTAGGGATATTTCCAACAGAAACATGTATATTTGTTCACCTAAAGACATGCCCAAGAATGTTCATAGGAGTACAGTTTGTAATAAACAAAAACTAGAGAAGAGACAATTGATAAGCTTGAGTAGACAGAAATGTAAATTGTGCCATATTAACACAATGGAAATCTACACAGAATGAATTGATACAACAGCATAGATGAATCCTACAAACACAATAATGAATGAAAGGAGCCAGACCCGCAAAGAGTATGTACTGTGTAATTCTGTATATGTAAAGTTCAAAACCAAGAAATTAAACTGTGGTGTTAGAAGTTAAGATATAGAAATGATATGAGGTGGGCTTCTGGAAGCTGTTAATGTTCTGTGTCTAGATCTGGGTATCATAGGAGTCTAGACCCATTTTTGAAAGTTCAATGAACTGTACTCTCAGGATTTGTGCACCTTTTGGTGTGAGTGTTAGACCTTATTAGAGTTTCCAGAAAAATATTGAAGACTTGTTCTTAGATTCTTGCATTTCTTCTGGATGATTTAGTCAAGAAGTTTTCTTTAGGCTCTTACTGCTGTCTACTGTCATTGTCCTTAGATTCGTTTTTGCTTGCTTAAGTATTGGGGATAATAATTTTGCACACAGTATTTTATTTCCCTCTTAAATAATGTTCCCTTTCAGCCTTCCCTCTCTAAGACAGGCTTATCTTCCCAGAGCAGGAAAGACTGAACATTTGGCCTCCTTATCAAAGTGATTGTTCTAAAATTAGGGTGGCTGGGGGAAAGATGCCATGTTCATTCCTGAGCCTCTTTTAGCCCCTGGGAATGCAGAATTGAGAGCAGCCCTGCCATGGATCTGCTGGGTGGGAGTGAGGTGACCCCACTGCCTGGACTGCCTGGTCAGGGGCCAGATGGGCAATGTGGTAGCGATTCAGTGGAGCCCATAGGTCAGTGAAAGCTAAGGTGAGGTCAAGCCAGCTGGAAAGCAGCCCTCAGGCTCTGACCATAATAAATAAAACTAGGTGGCAGGTTAGAGCAACTGTAGGGATCAGCTATGGATACTAGAAGCCAAGATCAAAGCCAGTTGTGCCTCAGTGGTGACTAGCCCCCACATAGCAAAGGGATGGCATAAGG